TCAAGGGGTAAAAGTGCGGGTGGCTTTTTCACTATTACACCTAATAACCAACTCACAGAATTTTTGTTTCTCCTGGCAACTTTGAGCTCTACTGGTTTGGAGGACTTAGTCTCCAAAAGGAGAATGCTTCTACCATTAGACACAATGGTTCCATTGAATTAGAAGAGGAGACTGCCACCTGGTCATTTTGGGCTCTATACATCACTGAACCAAGAGGCAAAAAAAAAAAAAAAAAAGATCCCTTGGCTGGCTGGTGTGATATATCCTGATGACCTAGGGGAAGTTGGGATGCTGCTACACAATGGGAGCAAGGAGAGTTATTTCTGGAACCCAGGAGGTTCTCTGGGGCACCACTTAGTACTTCCTTGCCTAAGAGTAAATGTTAACATAGCAACCAAAAAAAAAAAAAAAAAAGACAGGACAGACCTTGAGTCAGAAATGGAAATTTGGATCACTCTACCAGGTAAAGAACCCTATCTGAAGTTCTGGCTGAAGACATAGGAAATATGGAATGAGTAATTAAAGCAGTTCATAGATATTAATTATGGCTTCTTGACCAATTATAGAAATGAGGACTGTGGTTACTTGGCATATTTTCTGTTTGCTTGTTTCAGATATGTGTTTGTCTAAGTTAACCATTTTATTCATCTCTCCCTTTCTTCCCATTTTTATGTTGTTATACTAGTTGTTGGAAGTGAACTTCACAATTTAATCTTTAGGTAACAGAAAATTCAGTGGAACTCTGGGTTTAAGGAGTAGCTAATATAGCCAGAGATGGACATGATGACTGGTGGGCTGTTTGAGGAACTGTGAAAAGCTCTGTGTTGTAGTCTGACTTTACCTCCCTTCTCCAACTTCACTCCCACACATAAATATTTGTCCAATTTCTTAGATGTTTTAAGGCAGAGCAGCAAATTCATGTTAAGGGTGGTTGGGCAGGTAAGGAAATGAGAGTAGTGAGAATTCAGGCCCTATCTAGAGGAAAAAAAACTATATTCAGTTCAAGATGATTGTTGCCCTGTGACGCTCAAATGTAGCCTTAATTTAAATAAACAAACACACTTCGTGTAGGACGAACAAAAGATGTCTTCCTGGTTGTCTCAATCTCTACTTTAAAAAAGTCATGCAGAGCTTCCCTGGTGGCACCGTGGTTGAGAGTCCATCTGCCGATGCAGGGGACACGGGTTCGTGCCCCGGTCCGGGAAGATACCACATGCCGCGGAGAGGCTGGGCGCGTGAGCCACGGCTGCTGAGCCTGCGCGTCAGCGGAGAGGCTGGGCGCGTGAGCCATGGCTGCTGAGCCTGCGCGTCCGGAGCCTGTGCTCCGCAGCGGGAGAGGCCACAACAGTGAGAGGCCCGCGTACCACAAAAACAAACAAACAAAAAAAATAGAGCACAGAGCTTAGGTATATTCAAAATTAAAAAAGAAAAAAAAAGTTTTGCTATAGAGGGAAACAGAGAAATGGGACAGTAGCTGAAGATGCGAATAAGGGAGATATTAGATTGTTATGTGTAGGAGGATATTTCATTTGTGTTGTATTTTTCTCCACAATTACCAAGTGTCTTTTGGTTTCATTTATAATCTGCCATTAAAGAGGTTCAAGATTTTATGTACTTCCTTTAAGATTTCTGGACTTCCTGTCTTGTTTAAAGGCCTTTTCCATTTGAGGATTAAATGAATATGCTTATTTCCTTCAGATACTTGTATTTTATTTCTTAATATTTAGATTTTATTTTTATATATGGCATGAGATAAAGATCTTACCTTGTTTTCTTCTATACATATGTCAATTGAACCAATACCTTTTGTTAAGTAATCCATTAATTTACCACTGAACTAGAATGTTATTTTTATAATAAAATATGTTCCCACATTTATTTGCATTTCTGGGCTCCGTATTCTGGTCTACTGATAAAGACTCTTTAGCTCAGATATTCCCAACTTCATTGAGTTGTGACTAAGCTTCCTCTCCCACCCTGAAAAAGCTATATAGACTCTATTAGCTTTTATTTTCCAATTTAAAAAAATGTGGTAAAATACAATTAACATAAAATTTACGTCTTAATCATTTTTAAGTGTATAGTTCAGTGGTATTAAGTACATTCATAATGTTTTGCAACATCACCATTATCCATCTCCGTAACTCTTCATCTTGTAAAACTGAGACTGTATCCCAATTAAACAATAACTGCCCATTCTCCCATTTCCCCAGCGGCTGGCAACCACCATTCTACATTCTGTCTCTATGATTGTGACTACTCTAAGTACCTCATATAAGTGGAATCACAGTATTTGTCTTTTTATGCCTGGCTTATTTCACTTAGCGTAATGTTCTCAGTTCATCATGTTGTAGCATATGTTACAATTTTCTTTCTTTTTACAGCTGAATAATACCCCATTGTATGTATAGATATACCACATTTTCTTATCCAGTCATCAATTGTCCAGGGACCTTTGGATTGCTTCCATATATCAGCTATTGTGAATAATGTTGCTATGAACATGAGTGTACTAGTATATTTTCAAGACCCTGATTTTAATTTTTTTGGATATATTCCCAGAAATGGAACTGCTGTATCATATGGTAATTTTGTATTTAATTTTTTTGAGGAACCTCCGTACTTTCCACAGCGGTTGTACCATTTTACGTTCCCACCAACAGTGCACAAGTGTTCCAACTTCTCCACACCCTTGTCAACACTTTGCTTTGTTTTGTTTTTGACAGTAGCTATCCTAATGGGTATGAGGTGGTATCTCATTGTAGTTTTCATTTGTATTTACCTAATGGACTCTATTAGCTTTTCTATTAAAATGAATATGTGTTAATTTTTCTTTTAAGACCAGTGGAAGACAGCTCTTGAAATAAATAGAAGCACTCTGGGTTTTGGCAAAGCTGCTGTTAAAAATCTTTATCTTTAACCTCTTAACAAGGTGAAGAATTGACTTGTGAGAATCTTGGTTTTTTTGCTATCAGTAACCGCCAAGGGAAAAAGATACATATGTTTTTCCGTAATTATTTAAGGATTCCAGGATATTAATGGTGTACCATTAGCATACCAACAAACCAGCTAATGAGCTATTAATATTATACCTAAAATGCACCAACAGAACAAAGTTGTGTGTGCATGAGTTTGTAGGGGTGAATGAGATTAGTGCTAGTTTGTAAAGTGTAATCCTTTAGGCAAGGCTGAGAAACATCTTTAAAGGACTGATCCTCAATATCTTAGTTGTATATCAATTTATAGTTTACAAAGGTTTCCATACACAGGATGGAATCATGGGATTCTTACAAAAATCCTGGGAGTTCAGTTGGGCAGGTATCATTATCTCGGTTGTTTACAAATGCAGAAACAGGCTTACCTAAGCCAAGTGACTAGCCCTGGGTCAGCTTGTGAGTGGCTGGGACATTTTAAAAATATAGATCTTGGTGAAGAGGGAATCTGTCATAACCCATGTAAACGCAGAGCCTGACAGACAGTTTAGCACATAGTACGAACTGTGTGTACTATAGTACAAACTCACTGAATATTTGTTGAATGTATGAATGTGTCTTATGAGCCTATTTCAGAGTTCTTTCCATAATACTATGTAACCCCATGCCATGAAATCAAATTCTTAACAACTGAAACCGGTTGGGGAGAAGAAAGAGTTGGGGAGGAGAGGGTTTGGGGAAGGTGGGAGGTTGGGGATGGGATAAGGGGCAGGGATTATTCCCAGAAGAATGAGGAAATTGGAGATGGAGGCAACAGCTTCTGGAAATGTCAGTGTTTATTAAACATTTAAGGAGATTTGGGGGTTTGAGAAGAAATATACAGAATGTAGAAAAATCCTAAGAATCCCCTGTGGCTAGGAGTGCAGCCTCTTCCCTTCCCCCCCCCCCCCCCC